TTTTAGTCCAATGTTATCTTCCTTTTAGTCTTTAGGCAGAACTGGAGACTAGCTCTTACTTCTCCCTCCCCTCAAGAACAGGATACGGGAGAACCTTTTCTGTAACAGCCTACAACTTCGGTGAATCACCCAACCTCCTAAGCAGGGAGATTTCTGGGGCCCAGAGGACAAGAATCAACAAATGTACAGTGTGTAAAATGAGGGTCTCCAAGAGGAAAATGTGTCCTATGTTTTCATGGAAAGCAACATGGGCAAGCAAAGTCATGATTCATCCTGATGGTTGACACTGACAGGAGCTGAAAGGCTCTTTACGTGGTTCCAGAGTAATGCCCAAGGAGACTTATCTGACTTGGATAGCCAACAAGAGGTTAATTTTTTTTTTTTTGTATCAGGGATACAACTCAGGACCTTACGCTTGCCAGACAGGTGTTTATGCCACTGAGCTGTCTCCCTGGCCAAGGGGTTTAGTTTAATTAACACAGGTCTCACTGTAACTTGGTCTTGAACACTCTGCATGTAAGAATAACCAAAGATACACAAAAACAATGTCATAGCAATAAGTGAAATATAAAAGGGGCTCTAATTGCTGACACTTTTGGGCAGTTTCCAGCTATACTAATAGCTGACCACTGTCATGAGTCATTATGAAAAACTACAATGGAATCTATAACAGGTCAACAAGAATCTTTAAATTTTTTAACTAAAATTGTCCTTCAAAACCACCAAATCCCATCTTCTTACAGCTGAAACTGGAAAGACTTATGACAAAATATGACTCCATCAGTAGAGAGGTCTAAGAGCCTGTGGGTTTCAATCGCTATTCCAGTCCCTTAGTCTTGGCCCTTTCCCCAACATGCCTTTCCATTCTAGTACTTCTGCTTTCATTATACCTGCTCTCATTTCTCAAAAAATTGTTTATTCTTGCCTAGAGGCTGCCAGACTTGACGTGATCAAGCAAATGGAACCAACAATAAATGTGCCATACTCCTAATGGGGTCCACCCGATAACCTTGTAGAGAGAGTTCATAAGAGCTGAGCCACAACATGACTTCTATCTGAGGCCATTAGATGAGCTTTCTGGGGGAGACCCCTGACCGCAATTGCACCTATACTGACCCTTCTCAGCTCAAAGCAGCTAGATGGAAACTATGCCCAATCTCCCCTAACCACAATTAGGGATACTGCTTCAGAGGGGAAGAATGGTATACATAGCTAAGTTATTTAGATTTGTTTTGATTATTTATTTATTTGGTATACGGTCTTT